AATTATTTTCATTATTTATTTATTAATTATTTTCATTATTTATTTATTAGTTATTTTCATTATTTATTTATTAGTTATTTTCATTATTTATTTATTAGTTATTTTCATTATTTATTTATTAATTATTTTCATTATTTATTTATTAATTATTTTCATTATTTATTTATTAATTATTTTCATTATTTATTTATTAATTATTTTCATTATTTATTTATTAATTATTTTCATTATTTATTTATTAATTATTTTCATTATTTATTTATTAATTATTTTCATTATTTATTTATTAATTATTTTCATTATTTATTTATTAATTATTTTCATTATTTATTTATTAATTATTTTCATTATTTATTTATTAATTATTTCCATTATTTATTTATTAATTATTTTCATTATTTATTTATTAATTATTTTCATTATTTATTTATTAATTATTTTCATTATTTATTTATTAATTATTTTCATTATTTATTTATTAATTATTTTCATTATTTATTTATTAATTATTTTCATTATTTATTTATTAATTATTTTCATTATTTATTTATTAATTATTTTCATTTATTATTTATTATTTATTATTTATTATTTATTATTTATTATTTATTATTTATTATTTATTATTTATTATTTATTATTTATTATTTATTATTTATTATTTATTATTTATTATTTATTATTTATTATTTATTATTTATTATTTATTATTTATTATTTATTATTTATTATTTATTATTTATTATTTATTATTTATTATTTATTATTTATTATTTATTATTTATTATTTATTATTTATTATTTATTATTTATTATTTATTATTTATTATTTATTATTTATTATTTATTATTTATTATTTATTATTTATTATTTATTATTTATTATTTATTATTTATTATTTATTATTTATTATTTATTATTATTTATTATTTATTATTTATTATTTATTATTTATTATTTATTATTTATTATTTATTATTTATTATTTATTATTTATTATTTATTATTTATTATTTATTATTTATTATTTATTATTTATTATTTATTATTTATTATTTATTATTTATTATTTATTATTTATTATTTATTATTTATTATTTATTATTTATTATTTATTATTTATTATTTATTATTTATTATTTATTATTTATTATTTATTATTTATTATTTATTATTTATTATTTATTATTTATTATTTATTATTTATTATTTATTATTTATTATTTATTATTTATTATTTATTATTTATTATTTATTATTTATTATTTATTATTTATTATTTATTATTTATTATTTATTATTTATTATTTATTATTTATTATTTATTATTTATTATTTATTATTTATTATTTATTATTTATTATTTATTATTTATTATTTATTATTTATTATTTATTATTTATTATTTATTATTTATTATTTATTATTTATTATTTATTATTTATTATTTATTATTTATTATTTATTATTTATTATTTATTATTTATTATTTATTATTTATTATTTATTATTTATTATTTATTATTTATTATTTATTATTTATTATTTATTATTTATTATTTATTATTTATTATTTATTATTTATTATTTATTATTTATTATTTATTATTTATTATTTATTATTTATTATTTATTATTTATTATTTATTATTTATTATTTATTATTTATTATTTATTATTTATTATTTATTATTTATTATTTATTATTTATTATTTATTATTTATTATTTATTATTTATTATTTATTATTTATTATTTATTATTTATTATTTATTATTTATTATTTATTATTTTATTATTTATTATTTATTATTTATTATTTATTATTTATTATTTATTATTTATTATTTATTATTTATTATTTATTATTTATTATTTATTATTTATTATTTATTATTTATTATTTATTATTTATTTATTATTTATTATTTATTATTTATTATTTATTATTTATTATTTATTATTTATTATTTATTATTTATTATTTATTATTTATTATTTATTATTTATTATTTATTATTTATTATTTATTATTTATTATTTATTATTTATTATTTATTATTTATTATTTATTATTTATTATTTATTATTTATTATTTATTATTTATTATTTATTATTTATTATTTATTATTTATTATTTATTATTTATTATTTATTATTTATTATTTATTATTTATTATTTATTATTTATTATTTATTATTTATTATTTATTATTTATTATTTATTATTTATTATTTATTATTTATTATTTATTATTTATTATTTATTATTTATTATTTATTATTTATTATTTATTATTTATTATTTATTATTTATTATTTATTATTTATTATTTATTATTTATTATTTATTATTTATTATTTATTATTTATTATTTATTATTTATTATTTATTATTTATTATTTATTATTTATTATTTATTATTTATTATTTATTATTTATTATTTATTATTTATTATTTATTATTTATTATTTATTATTTATTATTTATTATTTATTATTTATTATTTATTATTTATTATTTATTATTTATTATTTATTATTTATTATTTATTATTTATTATTTATTATTTATTATTTATTATTTATTATTTATTATTTATTATTTATTATTTATTATTTATTATTTATTATTTATTATTTATTATTTATTATTTATTATTTATTATTTATTATTTATTATTTATTATTTATTATTTATTATTTATTATTTATTATTTATTATTTATTATTTATTATTTATTATTTATTATTTATTATTTATTATTTATTATTTATTATTTATTATTTATTATTTATTATTTATTATTTATTATTTATTATTTATTATTTATTATTTATTATTTATTATTTATTATTTATTATTTATTATTTATTATTTATTATTTATTATTTATTATTTATTATTTATTATTTATTATTTATTATTTATTATTTATTATTTATTATTTATTATTTATTATTTATTATTTATTATTTATTATTTATTATTTATTATTTATTATTTATTATTTATTATTTATTATTTATTATTTATTATTTATTATTTATTATTTATTATTTATTATTTATTATTTATTATTTATTATTTATTATTTATTATTATTTATTATTTATTATTTATTATTTATTATTTATTATTTATTATTTATTATTTATTATTTATTATTTATTATTTATTATTTATTATTTATTATTTATTATTTATTATTTATTATTTATTATTTATTATTTATTATTTATTATTTATTATTTATTATTTATTATTTATTATTTATTATTTATTATTTATTATTTATTATTTATTATTTATTATTTATTATTTATTATTTATTATTTATTATTTATTATTTATTATTTATTATTTATTATTTATTATTTATTATTTATTATTTATTATTTATTATTTATTATTTATTATTTATTATTTATTATTTATTATTTATTATTTATTATTTATTATTTATTATTTTATTATTTATTATTTATTATTTATTATTTATTATTTATTATTTATTATTTATTATTTATTATTTATTATTTATTATTTATTATTTATTATTTATTATTTATTATTTATTATTTATTATTTATTATTTATTATTTATTATTTATTATTTATTATTATTTATTATTTATTATTTATTATTTATTATTTATTATTTATTATTTATTATTTATTATTTATTATTTATTATTTATTATTTATTATTTATTATTTATTATTTATTATTTATTATTTATTATTTATTATTTATTATTTATTATTTATTATTTATTAATTATTTGTTATTTTAGAACAATATCTGAATTCCCATTATTGAGTTTGCACTCAACTTTTTTAAATAAGACACCATTGGGCCATTCGTTTGAAAAATAAGAACAAAAATATAATGTTACAAATAAAAAATTAAAAAATATTTGTCATGAATAGATTTACAATAATTAATCGATAATAGACTGTAAGTGTAGCATTCTTTTTAATGAATAATTAGCCTAATTATATTGCCTAAATTTATTTGCAAGAACATGAGAGTGCAGTCGATATTTATACAACCTTTATTATCAGGTTTTTAAATTTCGCGCTGCGTTGTTTGTTATCGATGAAAACGCCACAGTGGGTCAGATGTTAACTGCGTTAAAGCTGGTCGTTGTTAAGCATTGGCTTCTTATGAGCGTTTCCTATCTTTATCTCTCTTATCTCTGTATACTAAAAGTGTCCCTCAAAATGTATAAAATTAAAATGGTGCTACTGTAATAGAGGGACGCCGATAGTTGTGACAGTCGACAATTCAGATTACATAATCATACCAATGTTGTCTACAGTACCTGTTAAGTGTGGAGGGTGGGTTAACCTACGGCACTTAGGCCTCACTAAGCCCATTGTGCATCTACATTTATATAAATAGCTCAAGCATGTGGAAATAAAAAGGTGTATATGCTAGAAAAGTGTTGTCTAAAAACTAAAAACTACATTATGAAAAGCGAGCTTATAATCGTAGAAAAATTTTAATAATAGACGACAATAGTGCTTCTCGCTGTCTGATTTACGTATGGATGGGCAATTTATATAACTATATATCATTGAATCTTTCCTTTCTAGTACACGAGCGCCATTCTAGTGGTCACTTTCTGAAACCTTATTTACTGCTTTTGGGTAGATACTTTTAAGATAAACAACCACATAAGATTTTCATCCTTTTCTTTACACTCCGTAAAACAGAGATAGTACTTCGTTTCACTACACTCCATATTAACGAGTTATCAAAAGAAGATATCGCTTGTGTTTGAAAAGTTTACAAATAGAAATTACCTATCGATACCAATAAGTAGTAATATGTTGTATGTTGCAATATGATAAACAAGGCTTGTATCAAATCATATGTAATAAAAATGATATAGTAATATAAATAAAACTTATTTGTATTATATTTTTAATAACTATTAAACAAAATACAAATAAATAAAAAGTTTTAGTTTAAATAACAAAATATTACCTTATCTAGGGGTCTAAACCCTTCCCCTGGATATCCACCTCCAATATCAAGCAGTTTAAAAGTATAACCCAAACTAGCTCCAGTATCAAATACTTTTTTAGCAGTTGCTATTGCAATATAATATGCCATATAATTTACACAGCCACATCCTACGTGAAAATGTATACCAATAACGTTCAGTCCAATTGATTTGGCTACTTTCAGAAGGCCACTGGCTTCCGTGACCGGACAAGCACCAAACTTTTCACCCAGCTGATATCTGGCCGATTCATCATCACATCTTAGTCGCAAAAGTAACCTGTTAATTAAATAAATTAAACGATGTCATACTTTCAATTAAACGAAACCATCATGCATTTTTTTAAATACTGTTACGCAGCACCCTGTAGCGTGCTGCGGTCGTAATAAGTTAAGGTACGAGTAAATAAAGAAGATAGAATATTCCCGAAATGTCTTGAAATGTCATTCCTTGTCAAAGAAAAGTCCAGATTGTTCGAGAAGGTAGTAGAAGGTCGAGGCAAGCTATATAAGGCAACGACCTGACGTCAGTGGGGAGTTTTATGATAGACGTTAAACGTTAATGTTATCAGTTGAATTTGTGTTAGTTGAATTGAGTTATTGTAAAATTAGAGTTTAAATAAATTGTGATATCAAAAACCAACGTAACAATACTGTTCTTGCTTACATCGAAGAATAAATGCATTAATTACGCTAGTCACTCCATATTTACTTTTTTAATTCTTATATCAAAACAGATATGAGCACTATTCTGAAACTCCAATAATTTAATTTTGACATTGCTGTTTTATTAGTTATAAAAGTATCAATTTATTTAATCTTAAAATATTTGTATACAAATATTTTTTAAGAGATACTTCTTTTTATGATCCACCCCTAATAAATAATGCAACGTAATGCTATATAATATACATAAGAACAACAACAATATATTTAGTTATTCAATCTATACATTACTTAATTTAAAAATTTCACATTAAATAAAAATCATGTTTCAATTACATAAATAATAAACTAAAATCAATGTCAACCCTAGCAAATGCAGGAATGCAGTTAAATTTATTTCATATTTTCGAGAAAAAGATTCCGTTGGTAGCAAACACCTGCTAGTAGTTAGCAACCCGCGCGAAATAAAGCTCTCTCACTTTGTGACAAATTCCAATTAAATAAATATATGCTCCAACTCGTTTCCACTCGCAGACATATTTTGCTCGCACCCGCATAGGCATGTTTAAAATAATTAGTAAAAATAAATATATAAACTTAAGCCTTGTTCAGAGTAGGAGCGGCGAGCGTGACGATGCGATACCGTAGCGTCGAGGGATGCATCGTCGGTAAAACTACCTAGCGTTATCAAACGCAAACGTTTAGAGTGAGAGCGAACAGCGCAAAGTGGAATATAATATACAAAATACTTGCCAAAATGGCAAAGCAAAAGTTGGGTAAAAAATTGTGCTACCGTATAAATCATATCCGATTTAAACTGAGCTTAGTTGAAAAATAGGTTTCATGTGAAAAAAAGTTTTTAGTTGTTGCTTGTCAACATAATATATCGACATTATACATACTTTTGTGGCTTTATGTTTATTTCGATTAATTTTAAATTTTTTAAACCGGTTAATAAGGGTATAAGTATTTTGTTATTTATATTTTTAAATGATTTTTTACAAAAAAAAAAAAAAATAAAAAATATTAAAATAATATTTTTTATACAGTTTTTCTTTAAAACCAGTTATAATGTAAGCCTTTTGAAGCCTGTCGAGTTTTTTCCGGTGATAGTCTTTATCTTTGAAATACTGACTAATAAAAAATCGAAAAATATTAAAATAATATTTTGACACAGTTTTTCTTTAAAACCAGTTATTATGTAAGCTTTTAAAGCTGCATCAGGGTCTGTCGAGCTTTTTTCCGGTGATAGCCTTTATCTTTGAAGTACTGACTAATGGTTTCGTGAATAAAACTTTCCGCATACAGTTGCTCTTCTTTGTGCTGATTTTTTTAAACATTGTTTGCACTCGATTTAGAAGATGAAGTACTACAAATCAAATACTATATAGAGCTTACAAGAGTCCAAGCCAATTTTTATTTTAAAACCATAAATAATTTTACTAATAATCAATATGTCGTACTTTGTAGAGGTATTTTTTCTTTTGTTAAAGTATGGACAAGTATACAATTTAATATATGAATGTAACTTTTAACTTTAAGCACAATAAAGCTTGAAACTTGTAGAAGAAACCAACTAGGTAAGCTATTATATTGTATTTTATGTTTATTTTTTAGTCATTAACGATGTAAGAGTTCTCTAGACTAGCATTGTACAAGTTGATAAAGGAAGCTTCACACAAACCTACTGAAAAAAAGCTACAGTTTCTGAAAACCAGAGTTGCTGAACTAACGGACTGTCCAGATAATAAAAGGTATTTTAAATCTGATTTTAAGAAAAAAATGGTCTTCAGCATAAAATATGAAAGAAAGGTTTCTATAGAACAATGATGATTGGTTAGCAAGCTTCAATAAAGTACCACTATTTTCTTTATGTACTCCAGGACACCCTAAAAAAGATTGTAATTACTCGAGTGAGAGAAGCAAACGCAGGAAAACCGAAGACTTAAGACTGCATTCAACTCCTTAAAAACTTACATTTGCTGCATCTATGAGCCACCAGGATGCAGGTTATCGTAATGCAGTGGATATAATTAAAAAAATTGCAGAAAGTCTAACGAAAGCAAGAGAGTTAAAACAGGCCCTACAGATATCTGAAAAAATCAAATAAAAAAAATTTTAGATACAGAGTTACAAGAAAACAGTATAAGATAATACGTAAATTTAGATAAAAAACTATACCCTTGCTATTATTTAATAAAAAGAGCAAAAAATGGGTGCTATCCATTTTTTTTTTTTTTTTTCGAAACAACGATTGAAATAAAATTGCAAGCTCTCATTGACAACACATCTTTAAGAATATGTAAATATTTAAAAGATGTATTGCAAGTGATAAATTTTGAAGAAAAGCACAACTTGGAGATGATGTTGAAATAAGGATGTGTTGGGTCTTAGCAATTACAATTTAAACATACGTTTAATAACATTACTGAGAGCGATGCCAACATCTTCCAAAGTTCGTGCGTGTCTACAAGGTTGATTGTTATTGTAGAAGAACAACAAAAAACCATATCGCAAAATCCAACCCCATATTCTACCATTGTAGACCCATCCGTATTCGTTTCGTTCACGAAACATCAGACATTACTGTGGAGGAAATAAAGTATGTTGAAGACCAAATAAAACAATTAGAAGAAACAGAAGTGCAGACAAACTACGGATTGGTCAAAATTAAACACACTATGCTCTTAACAATGGTTTATGGAAAGGTTTGAAATGCTGCAACGGATACGACATTATCAGAGAGGTGTTATATTTGTAAACTTACTTTAAAAGACTTTAACTAATAACAAAAAAAAAAAATAATAAGACAAGTACCATAATTTCAAAAATTTGACGATTGAATTGTTCACTTTACACTGAAGAATAAGGATCTTTGAGTCACTTCTTCATTTATCATACAGAATCCCGATACAGAAATGGCAAGCACGAAGAACCCAGGAAGAGAAAAAGAGTTGCAGACACCAAAAAGGAAATTCAAAAGTTTAAGAACGAGTTGGGACTCCTTAATGATATTCCAAAACAAGATTATGGAAATACAAATGATGGAAACACAGCAAGAAGATTTTTTCTGATCCAGAAATTGTCTTACGCATTACTGATGTAAACATAGAGCTTACAAAGAAACTAAAAGTGATACAGAAGACTATTACAAGTGGACATCGTATTGACGAGAAACATTCTGTGATGAAACAGCAAGAGTGTACATAAGCGTTTACGGTTCATGGAGCTGCATTTATTAAACAAGCTGCTAAGGCCAGGAATAAACAGTTTAGAAAGTGTTCCGAGAAGTTTAACGACAAGTGTGCAATAGAGATATCTTAATCAGGCTTCGGCCGAAACAGTGATCCTTTTATTAGCTGTTCTAAACAAAAGCACAGGCAAAAGAGTAAACCTTAGAACAGCGAGATCGTACAATTACCTTTGCCAGAGACGCGTGAAGGTGGAAGATCAGAAAAACCCTCAAGATGAAAGTAAAGAAGAAGATACAGAAGATGAATCAGAAAAAGAGAATTGAAACGAAGACCAAATCGATTTTGAATACTCAAATTTAAACAAATTTTCATATTAACAAAGTCCTATAAACCAGAAGTAAAGTAAGCAATATATCTCGTTTACATAGAAATAATTAGTAATAAATTACGATTGTGGAAAGTGACATTTTTTACACGAATGGGAAATATTGTCGCACGAGGCACAAGCCAAGTGCGACAATCACACGAGTGTGGAAAATCACTTTTCACAAGTGATGTACAATATTTTTCCTACGACAACAAAATCAAAAAAAGTAAAACCAGGTTATTATTATAATAATTAAAATGTATTTAAAAAAATAATCAACATTAATTGTATTTATTTAATTTTCATATTTTCTAAATTTAAAAAACAAAAAAAATACATGTGGCACTCGGGGACTGCCGCGATAAACCTATTGCATAGCATTTTATATCAACTTATGCAATTATAATTATTTATTTAATTTATTTATGCAGTATTTTTTTTTTATATTAATTCAAGTTACACTTTATGAGCATAGTGTCCGATAAGAAACCCATTTTTTTCTTTTATTGAATAAATGAGAAGTTAATATTGTTTAAAATATTTTTATTATCTTGAAATACATGTAGGTTATTCAGGAATTTTTATCATTGAAACTATAGGTTTATGGTAACTGAAATAAAAAACAAGTTTGAGACTTGATATCCTCTAAATATCCGGAAAATACCGCGTCAATGGTGGTCCCATATTTTGTTGTGGATTCTTGTAGATCACTATTCATTTTCAAATTAAATTTTTCCAAAATTGTGTCTAAAAGAGATAGAATCAGTTATGAGCAGTTAGCAGCTAGTCTACACGCATACGTCAAGTCTCACGCACACAAACACCGTGCCGAAATCTGCTGAACTGAAACGACGTTAAACGATGCACGGCTTTTAACTCCGCACCGCTGTAACGCTCGGAGTATGGGGTGTAAGGTTTATTTTCGTTACAGAATTTCTTTTTCGATTTTTCGAATTTAGTATTAATATGGACATTACATAGATCAAAATAGAAATGATGTGTTAGACATTTTGTGACAGCTGCTGCGGAAAGTAGCATATTCGTACACGGGTGGAAAGTAAATTCTTATTCATACGCGTGTGATATAGGGCACTTTCTATAGTGTGACATGTGTCACTTTCCTAAGTGGTCGTAGGAAAAGTATATTTTTACAATTTAATTAAGTCGTAATTTATATTTATCACTAAATTAATATTTATTACTTTCACTACAATATAACAACAAAATAAAAATGTTAATATTGAAATTAAAATATTTTTATTTTATTTTTTTATAAATAGGCAAAACTATGAAGACTAGATATAACGAGGCGAATCGGCATACTCAAAGTACGGTCCCAAAAAACGCATGCTAATTGAGCTTCTATAATTAACCGCATGGGCGCTGGTACTGCATACGTTATTCAAAATACATGGCTTCTTATAGGAATTATACATAATTTTGTCAAAATAATACAAATAAACTCGTTTACAGCTAAATAAAGCACAGAACATATTGTTGTATTTATTTCTACATAAGTCTTGCATGTTTTAATTGATTAATTATTTACTTTTATCTATATAAAATACAAATTAGGTATGTATGACCAAATTCGAAAAGGTTTCCTTATTGCTGAAATTTGATAAGTACAATTTTGTGGCAAATTTTTTTTGAATTGAACCAATATATAGTTTTAAGAGTAAAATAAAACACAGTTAACAGATTTCTTATTGTGTAATACAAGTATAAAGGGAGATTTGGGAATGTAAATGGTATTACCTCATCCTTTAATTTCAGCTTTCCCCTTTTTATTTTGCTAACAGTACCATCAGTAAAAATAGTCTCATAATATTTTTTTAAAAAATCACTTTATTTTACATTGATTGCGCTGTCATTAGACATGACAACTACAATCAATTTCGTGAACTTTAGAAAAAAGAAGGACGGAAATTTGAAATTTGACGATTGCCGATTCGCCTCCTTCTCTCTAGTCTTCATAGTCAAAACTCAAGTCAACCATTCTGTCTCCCCATGACAACCTTAAGCTGAGTATTTTAATTTTCTATTGTGCCCAATCACACGATACGCCCAATCACAGTTGATCTTCTGCTCGAAGCAGTTAATAGACAAAATAATATACAGGGTAATACAATAATTAATTAATTTGATTTGACTTTCCTATTTTTGTTTTTATTTTTAAACTATTTTTATAAAACAAATTTAGAAACGTTAATGATCAGTTCTTCTATAATTTATATTTAATAATTTGTAGTAAAAATTAATTTGTTGAATTATCAAAAATTTTCTGTGATCACAGAATCTCAACTATCGTAGAACTTTTATCTAGTAGTTTCATACTACAGTATATAAGTTTACGTTGTTGCTTTTTTATTTATTTTTTTTTCTGTAAGAGAAGAGATGTTGTGAGTTGCCTAACTAGAAGAGGTCTACATAGAATTGCTACGGTACGGTATATCTACTAAACTATATATTAAACTGGAAGAATAAAACCAATCAACAAAATCAAGCCGAATAGCGAGGTGATATTTGACACTTTGGCGCCCACATGTGCGTATCAAAATACACTAAAAAGGATCTTCAAAATTAAATTTAATACTTATTACATTTAACTATGACACCTTTTAATTTAAGAAAATCACTTAAAAATGATTTTTGATTAATACTCAGCTAAAACAAATGTTCCAATAATAATAATTATTCAAATAGCGCGTTATTAATAAAAAAATATAATTTGTCGTAGTACACCCGTGGGAAACGTGACGTAGAATGCTCGAAATTGACAGTCTGACGTCCAAAATGTCATGCGCACTGATCGTTTTTTCACCCATGTCGGCTTAGAAATTAGGTTTATGTCATCCAGTTTAATATCAGGGTCGGTGGGTATAACTGGCAACGCTCGCTCTCTCTCTCGGCTAAAGACCAAGTCGTTGTAGGTGAGCCAATAAATAAATTACGTTTATTATTAATGTTATATTATTGTTTAATTACAACACAACATTTGCCACTTTTGGAAGGACACTTTTTAAGATAAACAGCCATAATAAATTGTCGTCCATTCCTTTACACTGCATATAATGTATGTAGTATCTTGTATAGTTTAAATAATAAATGTATTTACAAAACTGTGTAATTCTGTTTAATTTAATTATTGCGAGATTTTATCGCAGGGAACCAATTTACAAAAAAGTCAGGTAAACCCAAAATATTGGGAACGAATTTACATGTTATTTTTAATACTTATTAACACGTTGGAAACCAATTTAGACGTTACTTTCAATCATCATTAACAAGGGAAAAATTTACATGTACCCCACAAAATGCCTTAATTAAAATAAAAATCAATATGTCTCAGCGATTTCCACATTATTTGTATTAAAATAACATTTATATGGGGTGTGGAGATATTCATATGATGGGAGGGCAACCTAATAAAGGTTAAGAATCCCTAGGCTAGATATATTAAATAATTTTTAGAATCACCTACCGTCTTATGTCTGCTATTATAATGAAAGATGTTGTATAATACTTACTGAGCTTTAGAATGATATTTCTGTATTTTATAAAGTTCCGCTTCATTATCAAAAGTCATTACATTTACGCCTACTTCAGCCGCATACGTAAGATGACTAAATAGTTTGGTGGGATTTGAAAATACTATTCTCTCAGGAGGTACTCCTAAAGACAGTATTTTTTGTATTTCTTCTTTAGATGCGCAATCGAATCCCAATCCTAATGCTGCAAATGTTTCTACTACTATGCTGCTGTTATTGCATTTAGTTGCTACAAATAATTTTTATTAGTTATTGATTTATGTATTTAATCGATTCTATATTAATAATAAAAATCTTGGAAGCTGTGATACATTTAAAGATCTCGGTATTAATTTTGACTTTAAATTCTCTTTTATTGTGTACATTGAAAATACAAGAAATTTCAATTAAAACTACCCCTCCCCCGCTTAAATAATTTTAAATGTGAATTTCTATAAAAAAAATCCACCCCATGGCCACTCTCTATGTTTTTTATTTTTTTAATGGAACACCTATATTATTGTATTTTTCTATTCTCCTCCAATTCTCCATTCAAGGTGCCTGTACTAAATCTTAAAATAACTAAATGATTTTAGTTTAAAAACAGGAACGGTTTAATTCAGGACTAAATCTCAAAACAATCAAATAATGTTATGCTTCGAATAAAAACATGGTCGAAAAATATACGTTTGTCGTTTTTTGAGCTGTTAAATACATACATTAATGTACCCAACGACGAACAATTACTGCAAACATTCACTGTGTTATCCACGTAATTGTCAAATTGTTATGACAGAATTTAAGAAAGTCTTGTTACAAGAATAATTTATGATTATACTTCCTAGTCCGGTTCTTATAGAACACACATGTAATTGCTTCATTTTATGCATTATTTTTAAAGAAAACAAAACAATTTTCTGTCTCATCTCATCACCCATACTTCATTACCCTTCGATATTAAATTTATAATAAGTGAATTTTGTTGGTAAAAAATTTATTTAGATTAAAATAAATTTTCACAAAGTTTAAAAAAAGGTTAGAAGATATTTTTATTAGGTCTTTAAGTGCTTTATTTTGATAGCCGTTTACTTTTTTTGATTGCTTATGTGTTTATAATGGAATGTTATTCTTTCGTATAGACGTTATCGATATTGTGACGTTATTGAAATGAACAAAGAATTGGAATTGAAAGCTGTTCATTTAATTCAATATATTATTAATAATATTTTAGTTATTTTTGGGTTGGTTCATTATGTTTGGTTTTTATCTCCCTTTTATTTAATATTCGAGCAATATATCTTTTATCTACTTATTTAAGTTTATTTTTACCCATATATAAAAAAATATACAGGTTGTCTCCCATATATGGTTAGACACGATCAATTTGTAATTATATAAGATACCTTTTTCGTATATCAGTCAATTTACAATGTAGTTCATTTTTATTATATACAGTTATCGAGCCTTTATTACCCTATTATGTTAAACAATCTTTTTATTTACTAGGTTTGTTCATTGTCCTGTTTTGTATCTGAAAAATGCCTCTGTTTATTTACTGGGTTAGTTTATTATATACAGTCTGACCTTCATTGTTTTGTGATATATTTGAACAATTCATATCTGTTTATTTACTGGGTTAGTTTATTATATACAGTCTGACCTTTATTGTTCTGTTATGCAGGGTGTTTCAAAAAGGTATATCATAAATTCTTCCTCAGATAGAATACCAAAAAATAAGTGAATTTGGCTATATTTAGCTATATCAAAAACTGGCTCCTAACAAAGTTACAGGGCGTTAAAATAACATTAAAAAAAACGTTTTTTTTTTTTGTAAAAAGTTTGATGTTGCGATTTTTTCTTTGAATTTTTTGCCAGTGCTGTAGATTTAAAGGCTCAATATTTTAAGGGGAAAAAAATTAGAGCGACCCCCTTAAAACAAGTTGGGGGCTTGGGTACCTTTTAAACCCCTCGTATTTTTTTTGATATAAAAAAACTTGCTTTATCGATCTTAAAATCAAAATGAACTGAGAATTTTTAATTTTTTTATAGCGAAATGAACTTTTACAAATTTTTAACTGAATTTCTAGAGCAATTCGTCCGTCCTGGACTTTACATATCAACAAAACTAAGAGTAAGTCAGGAGTTATCGTATAAAAAATGCATATAAAATCAGTGGTGTGCCTAGGGTTGTGCTTGAGCCGCCCCTGCAAAAACTACCTCTTTTATTTATATTTTTGTATTCGTTGGGTATTAATTAACACTGCTGTTCCTAAAGCGGCACTGGAAAACAGTAACAAAGCCTACACATAACACGAGGCTAATAACCGTAGCAGTTGATGCCGATGACACAAAAAAAAATAAGGAGGAGGACATTTACTAAATTCAATAGTTTATAAAATAAGTATAGTAATTATTGTCAAGTGTTTAGTTTTAATTGTTAATTTTTTGTTAGTTGTTTAATTAAATATATATGTTAGCGGTATTCCTCTACTCCCCACCAGACATTCTTGAAGTCCATACACATGCGTGTCAGGATGGACGAGCGGGAGAAGGCAGACCAGTGCAGTGGGTAGTATGCGAATAGACAGTGGCAATACCACAGCAACATTGTGGCTAATAGACTATAATTAGTAATTTAAGTAGAAGTTAGTGCTAGTGATAATGGCGAGCGAAAATCCTCGTGACAGTGCGTTAGCAGAACACAATGTCGGTCGATGCTAAGGACAATGTGAACGGGCACAGTTCAAAGCGTGTTAAATTTCAGTGGTAGGAAACATTAATAGACTTTGTTGCAGCCTAAGAGTAATAAATTGCTGATTTAACTCAATATTACAAGATGGCTACGTAGCCGTTTGCTAAGCCCAGTGTTGCAGGAGCAGATTAATCTAACTTACAAGCGCCGACATTTACGCCTGTGCACTATTTTCGACTTACCAGTTATGACCCTGACGAGAGCACATATTCCATAAAAGAATGGGTTGAGTAACGCTACCAAAATAAACGGCGAACTCAGCGTTAGCGATAATTTTATGATCGCTAAATTGAGCGATGCACCTAAGAATCCCGGTTATTGTTGTGACTGGCGACTTCTTTCTCGAGCGTGACAAAACTTTTGTGATTACCTAATTGTTGCATTGGCTGACAAGGAAACACCAGCTGCGCATGAATACAAAGCGGCTATACTTCAAAGCCATGTTTGTAACTCACTGTGTGATCATAAAAACAAAAATGTAGCAACATTAGATTTTATGATGCGTTGCCGGTTGCTGCGGAATCCAGTTCTGAGTTTAGACAATTCAAAAACCCGTTTTGCCATTCACATACAAAATCCTAATTCCGAACGTGAACTCATAAAATTACTCAACGAATTTGATGCGATCAGTGTTGAGACCTCGAGAATTACGAAAAATGCAGAGATCCTTAAAAAACCAAGAAGTCAGTTTAAAGATAGACGAGAAGCCGATCGATTCAAGCCAAACAAAATCTTAAATGCACCTTCCTTTAAATAGGGCCAACAGAGACAAACAAACTCCATGTCAGAAAATATAACAGGCGAGTACATTTAAAGCGGTTATTACTAATAAAAAAATCCGACAGTATTAGTGCTTTAATTAAAAAAATGAGTCACGTCTAATCCAATTGTTAGTATAAACAAGGCAAGTTTAAAAAAACATTTGTGTTAAAATAAATAATGCCATCTAAATTCGACACCGATAGCCGATAGCAATGCTATTTTACTTTGAGCAAGCTCAGTCATTAAAATACTTTATTGATAGTGATGCTGACATGTCAATAATTTAACAATCTGTAGTAAAAACATTAAAAGGAAATATTGGGCCAGCTAAATAAGATGCCTCTTGAGGTTGTTTACAATATCGCTCTTTATGATTTGTTACTCATTTGCCGCCGACTATTACATTAGAGGTCGTTCCAAATATTGTGATTCCAGAAGGTGTTGATATTACTGTTAGATGCAATGTCATATGCCGACCTTGTATAGGTGTTGAGAAAAATGTCAACACGATTGAGTTACATTTTGACCTGCTCAACATTCCGAAAGTGTATACAAGTGAGGAATCTTTTAACATTTTACAAGAATAAAACTCCTGACCACATAATCACCGGAAAATGTCAATTTAGATTAAAATGCAGTACTTTAGTAGCGTATCGACGAAGGCAGCGTATCAAGACAAAATTTAGCTAAAGAAAATTATAAAAAGTGAATTTATCCGCAGAAGTCACTTAAAATGATAGTGGGTAAGGTTTTTCGGGTTTGCAAAGGAATTGTTAGAACCGAGAAATAGCAAACGATTCTAGAGAACGACTTCTTCCCGAGTGAAGTACCGATAGAAATAATACGCCCAGAAGCAGAGCCAGAAGCCCGAATAGAGGAAGGAGCCCTAGTCCAATTTCTAGATCTAGGACAAGAAGAAATCCGTCACCGGGAAGCCACTCTGTCTCAAATGCTCTGGAAAACGCAAATTAGTCGACACTAAATGACGAGCGTCGACTTATACTAGACAAAGTCCCAATCGCCCGATTTCAAAAATTAAAAAGAACGATAGTAGTTTGCTAGTCCAAGGATATGTTGAGAACCAACGTTGCAGCTTTATTATAGATACTGGAGCATCAAAGTCGTTCGTACGTCCAGACATGGTAAAGAATATTATGGTAAAACCTACAGCAAGATCCCTACTGTTAGAGACTGCAACGGGTCAAACTTTGTCGATCATTGGCGAAGTTCTCGTGTGGATAGAATTTGGAAACATAGCTGTACAACATCTCATGCTGGTCGCTAACATAAATGATGAATGTATCCTTGGGCTTGATTTTATGGAATAGAATAAATTTACTCTGGACATCCCTAAGCGAATTCTTAAGATTGGCAACGAGGAAATAATACTCAATCAAGAATTCCCTGCAAATCTAGAAATCCGATTAAAATTCTTGTCGAAAAAGATATTTGCATTCCTAAAAATTCAGAGACTATTATAATGGCCCGGTTAGAAATGGAACAAAAATATTTGAAAACTGGAATTATTGAGATGGAAGAATGTCCTGAAGATGGAGTATTTGTTGCCAGATGTTTAGTTCAAATGCAAAGGCTGATTCCGGTAAGAATTGCTAATGTCAATAATTGTAAGGTCCTGTTGAAAAAAGATCAAGTATTAGGCTACTGTGAACGCGTTCAAAAAAATTACTAATTTTGAAGAACCGGCTTTGGACAAAAGTTCAAGGTCAGAAGAAAAA